AAAAAAATAAAAAATAAAAAAAGGGAAATTGAAACAATAATCAAAAGGCTCCCCACAAAAGCATAAGCTCAGGACCAATTTTTTTTAAATATTTATTTTATATATTTATGCATAAAAGAGCTGGGGTATAGACCAAAGATGTGGGAAGGTAAGAGGCAGAGTGGGGAGCAGAATAGGTGGATTGAGTGGGTGAGACAGAGGTCTGCTGCATCATGTGGGTCACCTCCCTGGCTAGGATTGAACTCATAAGGCTGTGGCCACTAACAGCTTTATAGGGCTGTACCTTTAACCACTGTGCCACCAGGGAGGCCCTAACCAAATGTCTTTTTAATTGAGTGCTACCGAACTTTAAAAGATGAAATAATACAACAACAAAAGAGCTGAGAATATGCAATGGAACAAGGAAAACCTTTTCAATAAATGGTACTGGGAAAACTGGCAGCTACATGCAAAAAAAGAAACCAGACCACTCACACCCACCGTACATAAAAATCAACTCAAATGAATAAAAAACTTGGATATTTTCTGAAAACATAAAATACATAGAAGAAAACACAAGCCAAAAACTGTACAACATAAACTTCAGAGATGTCTTTGTGGATTTGTCTTCAGCAGCAAGGAAAACAAAAAGAACATAAAACTTGTAGGACTACAACAAACTAAAAAGCTTATGAACATCAAAAGGAACTGTCATTAAAATAAAGAGACACCCTACTGAATGGGTGTCACATTACACATCTGCACATTACACATTGCACATCTGACAAAGGGTTAAAATCCAAGATCTGCAAAGAACTTATACAACTCAAAAAAAAGAAAGAAAAAAGAAAGAAAACAAATAACCTAATCAATAAATAGGTAGAAGAGTTAAATAGATACTTCTCCAAAGAAGCCATACAGATGGCAAATAGGCACATGAAAAACTGCTCACCATCTCACCATGTTAGTATCAACCACTAAGAATTTTAAATAATCCTTTTTTGATATGTAGTTTTATTATTTTTATTCAACACAAATAAGTTGACTTCTATTGATAAATCACTTTGTCCAAATAACTAAAAGTGAGGATTCTGGGAGTAGCCAGGTGATGACTGACAAATAGTCCCATAAACATCAGAAAAAAAACTAGAACTTTAGGAAAATAAGTGCAGAGTTCAATAAGTCAAAGGGAAATGCTTGAAGGAAAAAAGATTCTAATCAAGGTAGTATGAAACAACCTTATATTTGACAGCAGGACATCTTACTTCCTCAATCTAACATTTTGA